TTCCTGAAACTCCCTGACCATGGTAAGACTTACATATCTTGCCTCTCCTACCTCTCACAATACTGTTTCTCTTATCTTTTACTGGTTCTTCTTTCTCTTCCTGTCCTTTAATGCGGAGGTATCCCTAAGATTCTTGTTTCATCTGCCTTCTTAGGATGTGATTGTTTAGCCAGTTGCTAAATTCTTGATACTATAAGTTCTGTCACATTCCTCAGTGACAGAAACCTATCAGAAAATGAAATATGATTAGTTTGGACTGACTGCTATTAATGAACTAACGTAGCTTCTAATGAAGCCCTCTTTCCTGAATGTGTGTCCAAAAGGAATATTTAAGCAGCATGAATAATTCCCCAAAGCATATCCATTTATGTATAAGTTAGGGTCAACTCTAGTAAGTATTGATAATTAAAAAATATGGCATTTATGGTAAAAATCCAGCTATAAATGTATTTTTATAGTAAAAGTAGATTTGTGTTACATAATTTCAGTATGGCTAATTTGATTTTAAATATCAGGTTTCTTTCTCTGTCGAATATGAAATGAATCAAGAAGCAGCGCGTATCCAGACAGATGTGAGTTTATTTTAACCTGTTGAAATATTTACAGTATAATTTTTAAATAAAGAAATATAGATGGACAGGAAAGTTGTCAAAATATGTTAGAATTATATCCTTCACCCAGCCTCCCCTTAATATTAACATCTTACATAACTCTAGTACAGTGATCATAACCAGGAAATTAGCTCATCTTTGAATTTCACATTTTTTTTACTATTCTGTTTTTGTTTAGGGTGCCGGCCAGGGTTGCACATTGCTTTTATCCGTCTTCTCCTTTGATCTGTGACAGTTCTGTAGTGTTCTTTGTCTCTAATGCCTGACCCCACCATTTTTGAATTATTATGGCTCTTAATTGGGCTTATCTGATATCTTCCCATGATTAAATGTAGTTCTAGAACAGATACTACAGAAATGATGCTATGCCCTTCTCAGTGAATCATGTCAGAAAATATTTGATGCCCATATGTCTTATTATTGATATTAACTTTGATCATATGACTAAGGTGATTATCTGCAGAGTTCTCTACTGTATTTTACCATGTGTAACTAATAAGTATCTTAGGGAGAGATACTTTGAGATTATGCAGATATCACAGTTATTATTCTTTTGACCTCTAATTTTAGCATCTATTGACAATTCTTGCCTGTAAAAAGTATTACTGTAATATCTGTGTGATGATTTTCTGTTTCCGTCGTTTCTTCTATATTTGTCAATAGAAATCCTATAAAGACGAGCTGTTCTTTTGCCCACATTTATTTATTTAATTGATTTATTTAAATCAGTAAGGACTAGTGGATACTTATTTATTCTTGTGATCATAGTCCATCACTATTTTCTTGCTCCAATTGTTCCAGATGTGGCCACTGGGGGGAGGGGGGTTTTCTTCAGTTTGGCTCCTATGTTCTTTGAACATACCGTCCACCACCATTTTTTTTAGTACTTTTAGATTTTATAGTGTTCTTTTTGAAACCTGATGAGGGAAATTACATAAATCTCTAAACTGTCTTTTCTGTCCTTAGATTGCTTTGGGTGTGTTGGGTGGGCTCGCTGTTTTAACATCTCTTTTGAAGACGGCGGGGTGGAAGAGGCGCATTGGGAGTCCTATGATTGACCTACAGGTATGGTCTCAGGAGGTCTTGGGTACTTTTTTATTTTTGACCATTGCATGTTCTTCTGATAAGATACAGCTAGTGGGTGAGTAAAAAGTCTGCCTGGAGTTTCTCTGGGTAGAAGCATACCCTTCCCCTCTCACGTGGCTGCCCTCCAGTCTGCCTCCCTGCTCAGCGCTGCTGTTGCCTCCTCACGTCCTCGCTAGCACTTGGTATTTTTCCAGCCTTTCCATTCCTTGCCAACCTGGGGGTGTAAGGAGTATGTCATTGTTGATTCAATTTTTATTTCTCTGATTGCTCTTCACATGCTTCATGCATCATTTGGGTTTTCCCGTTTGTTTATATCTGTTGCCCGTTTTTCTACTAGACTTGCAATTGTTCTTATTTTTTTAAAGGTGGTTGTTTGCATTTTCTAAATATGAAACCCCGTTTGGTTTTTCATGTTGAAATTTCTTCTCCAAGTGTTATAGGAGAAGAAATAACCCATCTGTTATTTATCTGTGTGTTTCTGTGTTTAACAGAAACTCTTAATTTTGATATTGTCACATCTGAATAGTTTTTCATATTACAATATATTTTGCTTTTAAGATCTTGCTTAAGAAAGCCTTTCCCATCTCAAGTTCAAAAATATTTTCTCCCATGTTTTATTCTTTTAACTTTGCAGTGTTGCTTCTTTTTTAAAATAGATTTTGTTTTAATTTTTACCTATCATTTATTGAATATTTACCATGTGCCAGGCACTTTTTTAAACTTTACATGTATAATTCATTTAATCCTCACAATAGCTGCATGAAGTTGGGTATGATTATTCCCATTTTCCACAGAGGAAATTTTGGCAGACATTAAATAAATTTTATACTCCATTAATTTTATAGCAACTCAGTGATAGGTGGTACTTCATCTAGCTGATTAAGAACATGAAAAAGCAACGTAGTAACTTGTTTGTGCTGGGATATCTTTGCGACTCCAAAGCGAACCGGCCCAGGGATCAGGGGAGGGGGCTTTGACTTACATTTGGGATGGACAGGAAAGGCTTCCCAGAGAAGTGGGGTGTAAGCTGGTGTATGTTCATCTGTGATTTCCACAAGCCGTCCCCGGGGCCACTGCTGGGTGCCTGGCCCTCTACCAGGTGCGAGGGCAAGTGGCAGTGAGCAAAGACAGACGTGGCCTCTGCCCTCGGAGCTCGCAGTTTACCAGAGAGAATGAGGGAAAAATTTGTGATGGAAAGGAACCCATCTCATTCCACAAAATATATGAGATGAGAGTGTGGGGTGGCCAATCATTAAACGGCCAGCGCTGGCAGATGAAGCTTAAAAAAGGTTCGTTTTGGTCTAGGTTGTGAAGGACCGTGTAGGTTAGGGATTTATATTTCAGTGAAGAGTCACTGATGAAGAGCGACAGTCCGTCCCATTTACACTGGAGGAAGCTGACTCTGGCGGTCGTGTGGAGGACAGACGAGGAGAAGGGCTCCAAACTGGGAGAAAATTAGGAAGCATTTCTGCCTCAGGTGGTGAAAGGAGGAGGGTGGAATAAAACAGGCTGTCGGGAATGGGACCAACGGGAAGGACCCGAGGGTATCTAGGAGGGGCTGCAGCTGGTCTTGCTACCTGACCCATGCATACATGCAGCAAGGCTGCAAGCTTGAGAAACTGGTACAGAATATGTTGCTCAAAGTGGTAGTATAACTGCACCGAGTCTGTAACAGCTGCCATTCTTTTTAAATTGCAGACAGTTATGAAGTTCATGGTGTACTATGCTGGTGACCTGACCAATGTATTTGTTATCATCACGGTGGCAACGGGTCTTTACTGGCTTATTTTCTTCAAAGTAAGTGAGTTGCTGAATTTAACCTGAATGCCAATGACTAAGTGGTAAGTGCTCCTTCTCAAGGAGCTGTTTTTATTTGGGAGGATTTCTGATGACCAGCACTGAGTATGCTGTGTTTATTGCGAGCCTTACCGCCTTCCTCCCTACGCTTTCTTTGGAAGTGTGCTGAGTAAAAGCCGTCCGTGCTCCTAATTACTGCTGTAATTTTTGTCACAGGCACAGAAGTCTGTCTCTGTGTTTCTGCCAACGCCGACTCAGGAAGAACGTTTTGTTACTTTTGTGGGATGTGCTTTTGCTCTGAAGGTATGTTTCAAAGGACAGGGTAAAAAATGTGAAAGGCCTGCTAATACACTTGTAAGTCTTTAAAATTAAAGTACAGTGGAGCCGGGGTTCTCAAGCTTAATTCATTTCAGAAGCTGTTCAAGGCGCGATTTGATTGAAAATGGAATCATTTTTTTCCCATTAGAAAGAATGTAGATTAAATTAATCCGTTCCAGTTTCCCAAATAATTCCATGTTTTAACCTTTTTTAGTTGCCTGTGATCTTTGTTTTGTGAGCACGTTCACACCCTTAGAGACATCAGCATTCTTTTTTTTTTAAAATATATTTTATTGATTTTTTACAGAGAGGAAGGGAGAGGGATAGAAAGTTAGAAACATCAATGATAGAGAAATATCCATCAGCTGCCTCCTGCACACTCCCTACTGGGGATGTGCCCACAAACAAGGTACATGCCCTTGACTGGAATCGAACCTGGGATCCTTGAGTCTGCAGGCCAGTGCTCTATCCACTGAGCCAAACCGGTTAGGGCGTCATCAACATTCTTAATGGCCTCTTTATGTTTTAAAATTGTGCTAATCATCAATTTCATCGTGCCAGTCGGTAGCCAGATCAAACATGCAAACAGTTCTATCATACTTTGCAATTATTTACTTTTTAAGCTCTATCATTATTCTCACAGCTTTCCTTTTCACTTTGCTGCTGTCACTAACCTTCTTAGGACCCATGATGACTTACTGTATGTATTTAATAATAATAAGCACCAACAAAAGCAAAAAAAAACCCCAAAAACACCCCACTGAAATATTCACAGCACAATTTCCTGAGATGTTAACAAGGAAAGGTTTAGTGGTAAACGGACTCATATTCGCACATTCTCGCCTTTGTCACCTGGGAGACATGTGACTGATCATACAGGTATCAACATGAAAGGGTTGTCGGGTAGAGAACAGAAGTTTTGTTCAACAACTGAGGCATTTTTTTTTAAACAACTTGGTTGAGAACCAATTGTTCAAGATGAATATTTACTCCAAGAACTGAGGTTTGACTGTACTTTCAAAATCTTTGGAATTTAGTTTGATTTTGAAAGAAAGCATGAGTTACTGTTTTACACAGGAAGTCTACTTTTTTAAGAAAATGTATTTTTATTGATTTCAGAGAGGAAGGGAGAGGGAGAGAGATAGGAACATCAATGATGAGAGAGAATCATTGATTGGCTGCCTCCTGCACGCCCTCTACTGGGGATTGAGCTCGCAACCCAGGCATGTGCCCTTGACCAGAATAGAACCTGGGACCCTTTAGTCTGTAGGCGGACGCTCTATCCACTCAGCCAAACTGGCTAGGGCTATACTACTTTTATGGATAATAGTTCATTTTGAAAATCTGGTTTAAATAACTTTCTAGGGAGCCATAAATATGTTTGAATTAAATGAGTTGTAGCTAATTTGATAAGATAATATTTCATTTTATGACTTTCTTCTTTAAAGTCTGATGATGCATTCACAACAGGGACAAAATGCCTTCAGGCATGAATTTTGTTTCTGTAAATTGAAAGTAAAAGGTACTGAAATCTTAGAATTTGTTTTCTGTGTCTATAGTCCTTTCCTCCTCTTCTCATAGCATCCCTTCTCCTCAGGTCATTGTTTGTCAATGTATGTGAAGCTCTCTGCATGCCTCTGTGGTAGATCTCATCTCGTTGTTTGGTGATTAGTAATTGCTTTTCCCACTTACTGTGACCTCCCTGAGGAGAGGAATCATCCCATACTTAGATTTTTATCCTTTAATTAATAATGCATCAACTAGGAAGACTGCCTCACTTTAAACATATTACTTTCTATAAATGAAAAATATATGTCTCAGCCACACTTTTTTTAAAATCAGAAATCTCAATACCAGAAATAGAAAAAAAAGGACTATGAAAATATCTTAACACTTTAATTAGAACAAGCAAATTACAGTGGGAAAATATCTTCACTTATAAAGAAGTCAGATTATCTAGAAAACAAAGTCCATTTCTGGAAACCTTGAAAAAGAGAGCCAATTACACAAGGCCCATGTACAGGAGAGGCAGTATATCTCCTTTTTTCATATTCTTATTGCAAACAAAGATGGAAGAAGGGAAGATGAAATAATATGTGTATAAAATTTCTGTGAATTAGGTGGTTCCATATTACTTTATGAACTTCTAGTGACTTCTGATGGTATTACAACTTTGTCACTTGTGAAAATTATATGTTCTTATGATTGCAGTATATTTTCTTCTAATGAATTAGTATTGGTGCCCTGGCTGGTGTTGCTAAGTGGTTAGAGTGTCAACCCGTGTACGGAAGGGTCGTGGGTTTGGTTCCCGGACAAGGGCACATACCTGGGTTGCAGGTTGGATCCCCGGCCCGGTTGCGTGTATGGGAAGCAAATGATTGATGTGTCTCTCTTATATTCATCTCTCTATCTCCCTCTCCCTCTAAAAAAAATCAATGGAAAAAATATCCCCAGGTGAGGATTAACAAAAAAACACACACAGAGAAAATAATTAGTATTGGTTTTGTAAGTAGGCTTAATGTGGATGCTTTTAGGTGTTTTGTTTGTCATTCTCAGGCTCTGCAATTTTTGCATAAGCTCGTATCCCAGGTTACCATTGATATATTCTTTATCGATTGGGAGCGACCTAAAGGGAAGGTTCTTAAAGCTGTCGAAGGTAACAAGTAACCATTTGTGCCAAAATTCTCTTGCTATCTATCCTTGCAGAACAAAGATGAAGTAACCCTTTCACTCATTTTATCTCCCTGACCAGGTGAGGGTGGTGTGAGGAGTGCTACCGTTCCCGTAAGCATATGGAGAACATATTTTGTAGCAAATGAATGGAATGAAATTCAGACTGTGAGAAAAATTAATCCACTTTTTCAAGTACTTACTGTCCTCTTCTTTTTGGAGGTATAAACTATTTGACATAATTGTATGCAGCTTGTGAGTACCATATCAATGTTCATTTAATTTAATTCCAGCTAAGTTTTTATGTGAGCAGAAGAGTTTTCTAAAGATTGAAATATTGCCTTGACTGGTTTGGCTCAGTGGATAGAGCTTCGGCCTGGGGACTGAAGGGTCCCGGGTTCGATTCCGGTCAAGGGCATGTACCTTGGTTGTGGGCACATCCCAGTAGAGGGTGTGCAGGAGACAGCCGATCGATGTTTCTAGCTCTCTATCCCTCTCCCTTCCTCTCTGTAAAAAATCAATAAAATATATATTTTAAAAAAAGATTGAAATATTGTTCAAACGATTAAAAAAGGGAGTGGCTTTGCCCTGGCTGGTTTGGCTCAGTGTTTAGAGTGTCGGCCCTGGACAGAGGGGTTGTGGTTCAGGGCACATGCCTCGGCTGCAGGTCTAAACCCCATCTCCAGTCGGGCCACTAGTGGAGTCAGGCCACGAGTGGGAGGCAATCAGTTGATGTATCTTCCTCACCTCAGTGTTTTTCTGTCTGTCCCCTTTCCCCTTCCTTCCACTCCCTAAAAATCGATGGAAAAAGTATCCTCACTCTTTGGGTGAGAATTAAATTAAAAACAAACAAACACAGGAGTGGCTTTTTAAAAATCATGGTAAAATATACATAATGTGAAATTTATCATCAACCATTTTGAAGTCTACAGTTCAATTATAAGTACATTCACATTGTTGAGCAAACAATTTCTAGAACTCTTTTCATATTGCAGAACTGAAACTGTGCCCATTTAACTAGTAACTCCCCATTCACCCTCTCCAGCCCCTGAAAACCACCACTCTGTTTTCTGTCTCTCTGAATTTTTTAAAAAATATATTTTATTGATTTTTTTACAGAGAGGAAGGGAGAGAGATAGTTAGAAACATCGATCAGCTGCCTCCTGCACACCTCCTACTGGGGATGTGCCTGCAACCAAGGTAAACGCCCTTGACCGGAATCGAACCTGGGACCCTTCAGTCCGCAGGCTGACGCTCTATCCACTGAGCCAAACCGGTTATGGCTGTCTCTCTGAATTTGATTGCTCTGGGTAAGGAGTGGCTTTTAAACCATTGGCTTATAGCAGAATCCCCTGGGAAAGCTTTTACTAACCAAATACCTACGCCTTGTCTCGTCCCCTAGAGACTATATTTGATTCAATAGCTCTGAGGTAGGCCCAGGTAGCTGTACTTTGAAAAAGTCCCTTTGCTCCATGATTCATATTCTTACTCCTGTATTAGAACCACTATTATAAGACTGAAAATTTCCAACAAGTTATTGAACTCCTACTATGAAGTGCGTTGTGTTAAGAGCTGAACGAGACACAATGAATGGGTCAGTGCCCTTTATAGCTATTTCATGGGTCTGGTTGGAATTATTAAAGGAAGTATTCAATAATGAATATGGGACTGAAATATGGAAACTACTTAAGGCAGGTAACAGATTTCCTCAGGAATCATTAATCTTATGTCTATCTGCCTTCCTTCCCTTTACCTTCTTTCCCTCCTTTCTTCTTTCTTTCCTTTTCTAAAGCTAGAATATGTGTGTCCCTAGGACATACGAACACTATCTCAGTTATTTAGAGTAGTGTTTTTCAAAGCTTTAAAGGGCATTACATGAGAAAGAAGTTTCTATCCAAGTAAGTTGAGAAAACACTGGATTCAATAGTCATGTAGATTTCTTTACCATAAAAAGAATTTTGCATGGTGTCTGGCATATGTTAAAATCTCATGAAATGTTGGTTTTTCATTGGTAGTTTACTGAAGAAAGTTTTATTCTTCTGACAAATTTTTGAGCTTTTTCAGTGTATATGATAATAGGGTTATATTTGGCCTTTATTTGTATTGAAGAAAATACCAGATGAACTATTTTATGTTAAGTGTTTTGTAATTAAAAATACCAGATAATTGTTTTATCTAGATTTTTCTACTGTTTGTTTGAACTTGAATATTTTCATTTTTTAAGGTAAGTAGGGAGGAGTAATTTTTAAACTAGAGAAGTTTTCTTCATTCTTGACTGTTTAAATTACTATTTTTCCTTTTCACTACAGGTTGTGGGATTTAAGAACTTAGCATTAATGGATTCATCCTCTAGTCTTTCCAGAGACCCATCCAGCTACATAGCTCCATATAGTCGCATTCTGAGATATGCAGTGTCTTCCGCTCTCTGGCTAGTGATTGGAATGATACAGGTAACAAGAGATTATACTTTTTTATTATTATTATTTTTTCCAGAGAGGGAGGGAGAGGGGTAGACAGCTAGAAACATCGATGAGAGAGAAACATCGATCAGCTTCCCTCTGCACACCCCCAACTGGGGATGTGCCCACAACCAAGGTTCATGCCCTTGACCGGAATCGAACCTGGGACTTCAGTCCACGGACCGACGCTCTATCCACTGAGCCAAACCGGTCAGGGCCAGAGATTATACTTTTAAGCGACACTGTCTCTCTATATTTATAACTGTTTACATACTGATTATCCTTCAATAATGACCACATTCTGATAACTGACAATAAGACCAATAATAGCTAATAACTAATTCTTATATAAGGTTATAATCCAGGCACTGTGTTAATTGCATTGTGCATGTTAACTTTTTAAATTTTTATAGCAGCCCTCAGAGACAGGTCTGTGAGTAACCTCATTTTACAGATGAGGCCCCTGAGGCCCAGAAAGGTTAAATAGTTGCCTGAAGGGATACAGTTAGAGCTTGGCCGAGCTGCAGCTGGAGCCCAGGCAGTCCGATTTCAGAGACACATTCTTATCAATAGGGGGCTCTGAAGTCTTCCGAAGTCGGCAGCTTTCTAGTCAGATGATGGACTCCTTGTTTTGCTTATGCATAACTACAGGAAGGCTCATTTACCTTTAATATTCTTTTTCCTCTGAAATATAACTTCTTATTAACAATTACTTAAATGTCACTAAAACTCACTCAAATTGCCAGTACTCCTGGTGAATTTTCCTTTAAAATATTTATTGAAATACCTGAAGCTAAAAATGAATCTTCTCAGCCTCAGGTCCCATCTGACAGAGGAAATCAGAAATGAGGAGGCTTTTATCCCCGAAGAACCATTAGGGCCACTGTGTTCCTGGTTGGAACTTCTTTTGTCTTAAGATACTACACTGTGACTATAAAAGAAAATTAAATCCTGAAAGCTAATAAGCCTGAACTTGGCTTAATGTTTCAGATCCTGTTCTTTGCTGTCTTTTATGAGAGATTTATAGAAGATAAAATTCGGCAGTTTGTGGATTTATGCTCTATGAGCAATGTAAGTACTTTCTGACTTTATCTTGCAACTGTTATTTTTCCCTTTTTAAAGGTCATGAATACATTAAGAGAGGCTTTAGAAGTGATTTGGTATAATTGGATTTTTAGTCTAATTTCCACTGGTTGTTAATTCCAGAGATAGTTGTAATGAGCTACAAGTTAATATTTTCTGTCTTCATTTTTTCATTTTTATGTGCAGTTTCTTAATTATGAATTCCTTATGCCACCAAATAGTTCACCCAGCTGAGAAAAGTTTTCATATATCAACCCTATTTCTTCCTTTCTTAGAAAATATCTTCAGTCTCTTCTCCATCTACTTTTTTTTTAATTTTTTTAAAAATATATTTTATTGATTTTTTACAGAGAGGAAGGGAGAGGGTTAGAGAGTTAGAAACATCAATGAGAGAGAAACATCGATCAGCTGCCTCCTGCACCCCCCCCCCCCCCCCACTGGGGATGCGCCCACAACCAAGGTACATGCCCTTGACCGGAATCGAACCTGGGACCCTTCAGTCCGCAGGCCGACGCTCTATCCACTGAGCCAAACCGGCTAGGGCCTCCATCTACTTTTTAAAAATAACCTCACTATCCTTTAGTACCTTCTTATCTTCTTTATATATTTTCCAAGAATTCCACCCTCATTATTTTGAAAGGAAGCAATTTTAAGAAAAGTTACTTTTCACCGCTTTGCAGATGAGTTGCTGATTGCTCCTTATTCTTTTCTTTTTATAGATATCAGTGTTTCTGTTATCCCACAAATGTTTTGGATATTACATTCACGGTAGATCAGTACACGGGCATGCAGATACTAACATGGAAGAAATGAATATGAATCTGAAAAGAGAAGCGGTAGGAATGTACTTTACATCTTTTTAAGTTGAAGGATAGGTTCACTTTTCTTAATCTAGGATTTTTAATAATAAACTCTTTTAATCCTCATTGATTACTTTGAAAGTTGCTAGGATACCAACTCATTACCCTGAACATTGATAAAAGTAGCAACGAATATAATTTTATGGTTGGGTCACAACATGAGTTTTGTAATATGTGATACCAACTAAAAGAAAAAAGTTGTGTGTTTTTTTAAAACAGGAGAAATTTTCATAATCTTGATCTTGATTTAAATCCTTCAACTTTTCAGGAAAACTTGTGTAGCCAGAGAGGTTTGGTGCCCAACACAGAGGGTCAGACCTTCCAGATTGCAATTTCTGGCCAGATGAGACAGCACTATGACAGAATTCACGAGACGCTAACAAGGGTTTGTATACAATATAATTAAGGTACATTTTGCCAGTATTTTATGTTTAAATACCAAGAATGTAAGACATTTGCATTTATTCTTGTCTCTTTTCACATTAGAAAAATGGCCCTGCTAGACTATTGAGTTCATCAGCAAGTACTTTTGAGCAGAGTATAAAGGCATATAATACTATGAATAAATTCCTTGGCTCTTTCATCGATCATGTACGTATGTCAGCATTTATATTTAAGCTAGAATCAAAATGCAGTTTAAAAAGTTAACCAAGAATACCAGTTATTTCTTTAGCTAAGCAAGGTGGTGGATTTGGGATAGTCCCCTCCCCCGCCCTTTTTTTTGCTGTTAAAATTAATAATGTGGCTTAAGGATATAGATTTAGATTATGTAAAAGTAAAATGAAATTTTACATGTCTGTTAGCCTATTGTCTATATGTCAGTACTGGAATTTTGTTAGCCAGCTACCAAAATCTTCTATATTATTCATTATAGAAATATGTTATGCTATGGTTATATTCCTGAAAAACTTCTTAAAAATCAATTGTCAGTATATCTAGCCTTAATTACTACTAAGGGCATTTAAAAATTATTCCTAAAAGGAGTTTTGTTATAAAGCCTAATGGAGTAAATTACATCTTTTTTGAAGAACAGATTTTCTGTGTGTGTTTGATTCATTGTTTTCTTTTGATTAAAAAAAAATTGGGAAACTTTTATTTCAATGCTATTTTTTTAAATGACTGTGGCTTTTTTTTGTATTAGGTTCATAAGGACATGGACTACTTTATAAAAGATAAATTGCTTCTTGAAAAAATTCTTGGAATAGAATTCATGGAACCAATGGAAAAAAGCATCTTTTATAATGGTATCATTCATCTAACTGCCTTTGCAGAACTTGATTGCTGTTTTCAAAGTTTGAAAGAAAAAGTTGTCGTAGTTACTAATTTTTCTTTTGATTTTATAAATTTATATAAAAAAGAAGAAACAGTTTCAGTTAACTTCATGGAATTATAGTGGTTTCTCATTTCTATTTTATCATGTCATGTAGCTAGAAACAAATACATAAAACATAATTATTCTACAAGAAAGTAAAAAAGCTGAATTTCAAAAGCAGTGGCGCACATAGAAGAGATACTAAAACAAATAAAATTCAGATTTTATTGGAATGTCCTTGTGAAGCGAGAAGAGGTTTCAGAGCAGAACCTGAGAGGACTGTTTGAGACACAAATTATATAGTCCTTGTTGGTTTGGTTTTGCTTTTTTAACTCTATGGTTCTTTAGCCTTTGTTAGGAAGGGATATTCAAGGTATTGATGATAAACTTATACTACCTGCAATTACCAACCCTTGATACAGATGTTAAAACTGAATTTTATGAGCAGAGTTCCTTGACTGATCTTTTTCGATTTCTAATTTATATCTTACAAGTTGTTGTTTTTTCAAATTT